CCAAATGAGTACAGAAGGTAAGGAATCAAAAGTTCATCTTGACCTTAGATCTCAGCGTGTTATATATTGATATCACATGACTATTTCCAGTTACATTTTCATTTAATGATGATTTTAGGCCTAAGGTGTTTTCAGAGAATGTAGATATATAAAAGTTTTTGTTCTACAAGTGAGAAGGATGTATAAAGGTGTCATGCTTACTCTGGGTCACATAAGGTGACCAAACCATAACAAAAGCAACAACAACAATAGCACTGCAAACAATATTGCAAGTCATAATTTAGCATGATATTGTTTTATTTGTAATTAGGTCCTGTCTTCCTGATCCCAATACAATTGAGTTCAAATAATAAAACTTATTGAAGCTTACTACCATTTAAATAGAAATCTCTCTCTGATGTTCTTGCAACTAAAACATGATACTTAAATTATGAAGATTGTATCATTTCTTTCAATACATATGCATGTATGATGTAATATAAAATCAATATAACTTCCCATTTGGCTATTTTATCTGATGAGTGCCACATTCATTGTGTAGTATGAACTAGTTAGTAATAAAATACCAGGTCATACCTTCTGTTGATCACATCACCTGGATTATAATTTCCTTCCCTAAGGTTTGCCGAAAATAACATGTGTAACTCAAGTGCTTATCGCCAGTACAATTCCCGTCTTCCAAAGAGGTTACACAATCGACCAAGACAGCCACTGCAACCCACTGCTGTCAACGCCTTACACATGCTCAATCAATAACAAAAGAAGACATCATTCAAGAAGGAGATGGCCAGTTCCTTGTTAAAAGCCAAAGTGACAATAAAATTTCATACCAAGTGCACTTTGGTGATTGCAGCAACATGCCTTCCTGCACTTTCCTGACTGGCAAAGACATCACTGGCTATGCAAGCATTTTGTGGCTATCTACAAGCATTTTCCAGAAAGGGGATGGGAAGCAATGTCTCCTTCCTACAGTTCAAGCCCCTACTTCCAGATTGATCTGAATGTAGTTCCACCTTTATCTTCCAAGGGATGTTCCTCCACTGACTGTACCATAATGCAGGATTCAACCCCAAAAGAGAAAGAAAAAGGATCAAAGGAATATAGCAGTAAATTTACATAAATTACAAAGAGTCTTGTAGCAAATGAAGATTTGGAAAAAAAAGCAGAGGTTGCTGGGAAAAGCTCCAAACAGTCAGTAAGCATGCAGAATGAAGGAAGATGCTGCAGAGAGTTGTTGAAAGAAATTCAAGATCTCACCTACCTTTGTGAATCACTTAAGCAAGACTTTCAGAAGGCACTGGGAAACTTCCATCCCCTTGTGCCATCAGAAAATGGTATCTTCATGCAGGTTACTCTGCCAAAGAAAAACATTGTGGCAAAGTCAAAAAAGTCTCCACTTGCAACAGGTCCTCAAAGCCAAAAAAAAAGTATGTTCATTTGCCTCTCTGATTGAGACTTAAAAGAAAAAACAGTCATCCTATTCAGTTACCTTGCCAGCCAAAGAAACCAGCCACTGCCACAGTCTCAGAAAAAAAGTTTCAATATCAGTCATAATCCTGCCAATAATCGAAAAGAGGTTTTCATTAAAAGAGAAAAAGAAGAAAAGGACAACCTCTCCAGTCTTCCAGATATTGGGGAAAATGCCACATTGAACACTATTTTTAAAGATGCTAAAGAGACCTTCAAAAAGTAACTCAGAAGCCACGGCCATATCGCGCGACGTTATTTTATCAGGACCACCTGTTTTCTGTTTGATATGAGTTAATTTCAGCTTAATTTGTGCTTCAGAAAAGGCTACCTGGTCGAGCACAGCAGTTCCAGGGTTAACAGATGCTAATGGCTGGTTAAGTGATGCACCGGAATCATGGTGAAACTTTTTAGCAAGCTTTGTTCCAATGTTTACAAAGTAATTATTCATTTCCTCAGCTTTGTCGTAGTCATTCATCAAAATTTTCCCATCGCTATCTTGTACTGGAGGTAAATTTGGCTTTCTCGCGTTTTTTCCCTGAGCTTTCCTTACAATTCGCCCGAAATTTTTACTGTTCTCAGTTTCTGCGAATTGCTCTCTCCAATAAGAGATTTCTGCATCACGTATCAGCCTTTTGACACGATTTCGAACAGCTTTATACAGGGTCCAAGTATGCGCGTCATTGTTGACCTTGTAGAGTTTCAGAAGACGATAACGTTTGTTTCGTTCTTTCGTTGGTTATCCATGGAAGTTGGTTTTTCCTCTTTCTCACTTGTCTGGTTGAGATATGGTCAGATACTATTCTCTGATAGAGGTGTTGCCATGCCCAGACCTGATCATCAATATCGTCGAAAATCTCGCATACACTCCAAGGAGCGCTTTCGATGTCGTTTCTAAATTTCCGCTGGTTGAAGGTTCTGTAATTATTTATGGTCTTAATCCTCAGGGGGCTCTTTTCCTTTCTCATTCGCAAATTTGCATACACAAAACTGTGGTCAGATATTCCCAAGTGGGACACACCAGCCAAAGTGATTTTCTCTGGTGGCTAACAATTATCAGGTCAATTAGTGTTTGTGCTGTATATAGTGACAAAAACAACCCGTATTTTAGCCAAGATCGTTGAACACTTCAAAGCAGCGGGAGAAACAACAATTTAAAACGCATATCCATAAGTATTACAACACTTAGGTATACTTTTGCCGTAGTGGGGAAAAGTAAGCTTCTACTTCTCAACTAATTTCAACTAGCACGTCCCTCAAAACAAAGAAAATTCACCGCGTAGAAACCTAGAAATACCTTCTAGAAGTCAGGTCAAAAAAACAGGCCAAGCATTTCTATCAGTAGTTGCCATAGCAACAACATTTTAGGTTGTGGAAGAGTCTTCCTTACATAGTCTAAGGCTGTAGGTTTTATTTCTGACCTTCTACCGAGTGCTATGTGATAAACATTTGCCTAGGGAGAAATTATTTATGCAAATGTAATATTTAAAGCCTTGTAAAATACTGTATAGAACCACCTTAAACGCTGGCACAAACTAACATGGATAACGAGAAGAAAAAAACAACAACTGAGTCGAAATCAACCAAATGTCAAGAACTTGCGAATGACGCAAACACATTTTGATGAGAGAATAATTCTCTACAGAAACGTAGTCTATGGGTAACCTCACGAAAAAACTCTAATACCATACATTATAAATTCAAGCAGTGAGGTGATTTACGGAAATTCTGGTTGCCACGCAGGCTACCCTAAAAAACGGAAAACCTGCACTAAAGAGCGCAAGCGTAGAAGATTGGGGTAAAATTTCCGCACAGCCCCATACTACATTATGCATTCAGTTCTTGAACAGAGAAAACAATGACAAAAACAATACATTTCCATTGGGAAAACAGATTTGTTTTACAATAGTATGGGGCTGTGCGGAAACTTTACCAAGATTGGTACGAGACATAGCAGAATTTTTAAACATAGTGGACATTTAATAGTGTAGTTTGAGCGTCCGGATGAGTGTAGTCCTGAGAAGGAATGTTGTCGGTAGTGGTGACTGACGCTTCGACAACCTGAGCGGAAGTTGACTCTGATGATGACTTCCGCTCAGGTTGTTGAAACGTCAGTCACCACTACCGACAACACTCCTTCTCAGGACTACACTCATCCGGACGCTCAATCAACACTATTACATGTTATCCCCGGGTTCAAACCATTTACTGTATAGTGGACATTATCTGCTCATTTTGTCCGAGCCACGCGGGAACAGTTATCCAGTGGTTTTAAAGACCACTCTAAGGACAACGAAGTTATCTTCTGGGAGAGTTATGTTACAAGCAGAAATAGAGGATAGTTATAGATACGACAAGTAAGTGGTTAATATAAATCCGCATGGGCGATCAAACTTTGAAATTATTCCATTTCAGTTTAGTCTTGAGTCTGCTGATTCATCTATGAAAGTTTGAAGCCCACTAAGTATTTGTTTTTCTTTGATTTGTGTCGCTGCCATTTCCTTCCGTGCTCCTAGATTTCAGCACTACTCGTTTTTCTTCATAATTTTGTAAAGGATAATTTGGAAATCGTCGTCGTTTTTCCCCTTGTTTACTGAACATTCTTCTCAACTATGACAGTACATCTCTTCTGAGCACGACCTTCTTACAGTTGCAATTCATCTTGATCAGAGTATCAGTGGTAAGTACTAAAACATGGAACGACCTAAAACCACCTACAACCATTTACAACCACCTACAACAATCTACAACCATCTACAACCACCTACAACCATCTACAACCATCTAAAACCACCTACAACCATCTACAACCACCTACAAACACCTACAACCACCTACAACTATCTACAACCACCTACAACCACCTACAACCATCTTCAACCATCTTCAACTATCTACAACCATTTACAACCACCTACAACCACTTACAACCACCTACAACAATCTTAACAACCACCTATAACCACCTACAGCCACCTACAACCATCTACAACCACCTCAAAAATTTCAACAACGACCTGCAACCACCTCAAAAACATCTACAGCCACTCACAAACTGTCTAAACCCATCTAAAACAAAGCATAAATGTATTAAATAAGGCGAAACGACATGTCACATACATACATGAAATACGAGAATCGAATGAAACCTCCACCTCCTGGTCCCATCTATAATCAACCATCTCACGAAATGAAATGCGAGAGGTCTTTTACTATTGAGGTAATAAAAAATAAAATTGACATGCTCTTCTCGCATTTCATTTCGTGAGATAGTTGATTATACATGGGACCAGGGAGAGTAAGATTTTGGGGGATGGTGGAGGTTTTGTTCGATTCTTGTATTTCGTGTATGTGACATGTTGTCGTTTTGTCTTATTTATGACATTTATGCCTTGTCTTAGATGGTTTTAGTTAGTTTGCGAGTGGCTGTAGAGGTTTTTGAGGTGGTTGTAGGTCGTTGTTGAAATTTTTGAGGTGGAATTACATTATTGACTTTGCCTCCAGACAAGTTATTTTATTTCTGAGTGCAATCTTTAAAACGATATCAGAAGGCAGGTCTGGAAACTTCTTTGCACTCTCTGGCTGGTTATCTTGTGAAAAGAGTGTTCAGTTTGGTGTGACTGCAAGTTCATTGCTGCAATAACACCAAAACCCTTTTAATGACTTTTGTTTTTCTGGGTGATACAAAGTGAATAGATGGTGTTCAATGGGGTGTGTATAAATAATTGAAATAAATGCTAGTCTCTACTGTAAGGACCCTAAATTTCACTCAATCTGTGATGATATATAGTTTTGTTGTTTTAATAATTAGAAAAGCATATTACTCTTACATGATGTCTTTCAGCAAAAGCCCTTGACACTTTTCCTGGTCTGAGGGCATCACTCTTCTGAAGTCTTCCTCTTCTTCTTGTACCACATGTTCTTTCCTTTGGATTTCCTTTTCTAAAGTCTGTGATGAAGCTGGTTGCCTCAGCAACATCAATATCTCTAGCTAAATCCTGGCCATTGTCATCAAGATCTGAAAGACAAGGAAAGGATCATATAAAGGCTTATTTGCATAGAGTTACTGTCACAAACTAAAGGACTCAAAATACAAACCAAATTTATTTCAAAACCTATGCAGACATTCATTTTTCTGCTTGATGCAAAAACAGTACTGCAGATCAGTCTGGTTGATTGACCTTTGTGTCTCAAGTAACATCTTAAAAAATGTATAGATATTTTTACAAGGATGCTGGTTTCATTTGGCAGTTTTGGAATTATTGACCTCCCTTCAACTGACAACAATTTGCTAAGGTGTAGAAAGCAAACAATTTTCTTTACCAAAATTTTCCTCGTCATACTCCTTGTCATCTTTATCCTCCTCCTCCCCCCCCCTGGAGGGCCCTTGCACTTCCTCTTGTTCTCTCCTTTCTTTTAAGTTTGGTTCTTGTACCACACGTTCTTTCCTTTGGATTTCCTTCTCCCTTCTCTCAAGTTCACCCCTCTTTCTCTCAAGTTCCTTCTCTTTTCCTTCAGTATCTCTCCTGAGCTTGTCAACAATGACTATGGACCTATTCAACTGTGACATCTGCCCAGGGACATTCAAATATCTTTCATCTAGTGCCTTTTTCTTTGGATTTTTTTCCCTTTTTTTCTCTTCTTTCTCCTTTACAGTTTTCAACTTGTCTTCCTGGGTTTGATCTTTGGAAACAGAAGGGCCTTTCCTCTTATTTTTCTCCCCTGCTTGTTTGTCTTTCTTCTCCTTTCCGGCTGATCCTGATGATCCACCTTGTTTCTTGGCTGTTAAATGCATGGCATTTTTTGTCTTTATCAGCTGGTCTTTATCTTCTGTTGGGAGAGAAGAAACACCCAGCTAAATAACCAAGCCCTTGGTTCTACTTAATAACAGTCTTTTAAAAGGTACAATACAAGTTATTACATTTTAATAACAAGTCTTGATTCAATTATCTACTCAGTAACATTCAAAACAGGACCCCTTTTCAATCCAACATCTTAGTATCTAATTGTGGATTATAGAGACCCTGACAAACCCTTCACCCAGGAAAAAACAATGCAATGTTTAAGGCCTTGGAGCATATCTAACCTGAAATTAGGGCACATTTTAGCAACAACCATAAATTCTTCCTTGCGTGCATGGTCACATGCAAAGTCCTATGTCTTATACTAGTGGTCTTAAGTCTATGCTTACCTTTGCACCTATTTAAAGGTGGCAGGATCAGCTTTCACTAATTGTCTTTACCCCTGATATTTCACTTACCCTTATAGAAAGAGTGTGAAGTTCCCTAGAAAATGCTTGGATGGTTTCTTATTACCTTAACCGAAGTAAAAGCTGTGCAAACTTACCACTTTCACTGAGCACCACACAGGGGTAATACCTCTTGTCCACATACATAGCTTTGGTCGTACCATCATCTTCTCTTTTAATTTTGCTATCAGTCACAATGGACTCTACACTATCCTCAATAAACTGAACCAGGAAATACTCTGAAAATGGAGAACAATGTTACAGTTAACTCAGCCATTAGGTCAAAAGGGAAATTATCTTATAATTCGATTCCTTCAAGGGGAATTCTCCTTGTGGACCATTCATTACCCAATGACCACAAGGAGGTGTTGATGTTAAACAATTATTTTCAGTGAGATTAAAACGTTTTAACGCAAATAGATCGACTTAAATTAAGCACTTAACTTCCTTCAGCTGGCAGTTCAGGTTTTTTTTAAATACTTTATGGGAAGTATACTTGAAGTACATTTCATGGGAAGTGTACTTGAAGTATACCACCTGCAAAGTATACTTAAGATATACTTTTGGAGTGACCAAAATTATAGTACTTTATATAGTATATTTAAAGTACAGATGAAGTATACTTTCAAGTACCATTTGAAGTATACTTTAAGTATACTGGATTTCTATAAGGGTGGGCTGTTCAAATTAATATGAAATAGAAATCTGTTCTGTAAGTTTTTAGATTGGAATAATCATCAGATACCAAAATCCTTTGCTTCATCAATTTGTGTTTTTTCAAAATGGTTGTAGCTGTAAGTGGCAATTGGTCTTTGTGTTGTGAAGTTGAATTCTTCTAAAATCAAATTTGTGATTTAAAATGTAACTGAAAATGTTGCACAATTGTCTAATTTTTATGTTGTGCATTTGTTTTCAGATCAAATTACACCTCCATGGCTCAATTACCATTTATTATTACAGTTAATGAACTACTCTACATCTGCAAGAGAATCCAAGTATTGACTAAGTCCATTGCTAAGAGAATCATGTGCTTTTTCAGGTTTATTCACTGTTTACAAACTGATTTTGAATTTAACAGCCATGTACATGAATGTCACTATTTACTGCTGTAAGAGAAGGGTGAAACACAGGATTAAAGAAGTATTGCACAACACATATTCCATTACTGTTGATGAAATGAAGACAGTCCAAATACATATTATTTTCTTACTTGTTAAAAAAAAAGAGAAGAGTAGGGTAGATACAGAGAACAGGAGATGTGGTGCCATTTTTGCATTGATCAAAGGCACAGTTACCCAGGAGGGCTAGTATGAAAAGGATCACGCCGCCAGTGGTGCTGGAAGACCTGGATGAGTAGGTTTTCATATGGCTAGGTTGATTTGCACCTGTATGAAGAACAGAATAATTTTGTTAGAGTTTGTTGAATTACATTTATATCTCTCTTACGTCGTGTTTGGTAGAGTCAGCAGAAGTAGTATTAACCTTGAATTACAAGAAATGGTAATTAAAGTCCAAGTGGTTAGTTCAGTTTCATTTGTAATCATGTGAGTGACTAAAAAATTGGACAACCCGAAGCAGGAGTTGGATTTGTTAATCATAAGTATGATTACAGACCCAATTGGACCTGTCACCAATTGATTATAATGGTTACGTGTACCTTGACAATTTCCAAAAATACAAAACAAAACAAATAATTAGGGGCTTTCCATCTAAAACATCCAAAATATAACCATCACAATCTTTGACAATTTAAGCAAAACACAAAGTTTTAAATTGGCTTTTGAAGTTCCCAAGTTTTGAAGGTTAATGAAATGGTTGTTGCTATGCTGTTAATGTAATCAAATTTGTGATTGGTGGATTTCGCTCACTTAGCTCACAGTTATAGAGAGTTGTTTATGAAAGTTTAAGGTACAAACATTTGCATCTTATCTTAATTTTGTTGGAATAGTCTCACAAATTTACTGTAACCACACCAACTCACTATGATAGCTTCCACAACATCCTAAGATTTAGTGCATACTCAGTCAACATGGAATATAACAAAATGACACTCTAAGGTGTGGCAATGTTTAACATTCCTACCTGGATTGAATTAAGAAACATTTAATCTGTACAAGCTTCACCCCAATTACAATTCCTTCTTTGCTTCTAGGTGATTTTTGGCCAGTTTTGACAAGAGCAGTTTGAGAGGAGCATTGACAACAAATAAGGCTATGGTTGGGTGAGCCAGAGAAAGTGGAAGGGAATGCAGTTCTAAAATTGAGGTCCACTTCGTGTCTCAGTGATTTTTGTACTAGAGGAAAATCTACACGTGTTCTGCAAAGTAACAAGTTAGCGACAACGAGTAAGAGAGAATCTCAATAAAATTTGTATGTCTCTGAGGCATAATAGCTCCTATAGCTGAGGTAGACAGTTTTCAACCCAGCTTGAAAATACAGTCTTCTGTAGTCTTTGACTGTAAAAGTTACTAAACTGCAGATGCCTGAGATATGGCTGGAATCTTTTTGTTTGACTACATACTAGTTGCATCAAAGATCAGAGTATGCATGTTCACAAAACCACATAGTTGTCTCACTTTTGTTTTACTGCTTCCTTTTGATAGAGAAATTATCACCATAAATAGTTAGAGTTCCCACTTTCCTGAGTTTACCCAACTCTTGGTCAGTAAAGCTACTATGAAGAAATAAGAGACCGGCAGTACCACAATGGTTTACGAGCTGACTATGATGACTGAAAAACACTCAGGTCTTGTCGCTGTGTAGCTTTCTGGGGCGGGACCCTCAATTCTTACAGTACCTCTCTTAGTTTAGGAGTGTTAAGAGGTTTTGATGAACTGAAAGGGATCAAATCTGTGGAAGTAGAAATATTTCTGGTTGCTTCCTGCAACATGGGGAGATAAGCTCTGGTAAAATGGGCCGGCAGCTGGCCTGGAAACTGAGTTTCTTTTAATCATCACGAACCTTAATTGTGATCAAATCTCGTTTTACTCTCACAGCCTTCCACGAAGATGATCGCATTGATGTACGATAAGTTTGCCACCAAAGATTATCTACTTGAACATTCGTTCCCTCCGTAGTCCATCGCATTTAATTGAACTCAGGGATTGGGCTGCAACGAACAAAACCGATTTGATTACCATCTCTGAAACTTGGCTGAATACCACCGTAACCAACTCTGAGGTTAGCATTGACGGCTATAAGCTCTACAGACAGGGATCGGTTACGTAAACGCGGCAGGGGAGTCTGTGCTTATATTCGCGAAGACATTACAGTCACTATACTGAAGGAAATCATAGTTTCCCATTTATCTGATAATTATTTCCATCAGTTTTAGCTAAAACTGCAATACAGGAAATTGCGATCAATCGTGATTTGCATTTCCTACAGACCGCCTGATTGTTCGCTGTCCTGTTTTGAAGAGTTGCTGAAACCGAGTCACATTCTAGCACTTACCATGAACAAGCCCATTGCAGTCTTAGGAGACCTTAACTGTAACGTCTTAAAGAAGAGCCTAGAGAGCAGAGCTTTGTCTAACTTTTTGTGTGAGACTAACCTGAAGCAGATAATTACAACACCAACAAGGATAACAGACACCGACGGATCTCTGATTGATGTCATTTTAGTCTCATCTCCTGACCTCGTCCACGCGCGTGGCGTTATTAACACTCCTATTAGTGATCACTTAACTGCATATATGGAATTACAGCTGAAACTCCCTAAACCTCCACCATGTTATTTCTCAACAAGGAGTTACAAGCATTATAACCCCGATCTGTTTACCGCAGACCTGGCAACCAAGTGTGACAAATTTCTTTCAATTTTTTCAGAGGAAGATATAAATTATAAACTCGCAGCGTTTAATGACACTTTTCTTTCCACACTGGACGCTCATGCACCAATTAATTCGATCAGAATTCGCATTCGTCCCTGCCCTTACGTAACAACTGAAATTGAGGATCAGATGACCTTTAGAGATCAGCTCTTTCGTCGTTACCGACAAAGCCGAAATGTAGACGCCTGGAAGGCGTACAAGGAAGCCCGGAGATCTGTAAAACAAGTTCTTAAGAATGCCGAGTGTGACCACATCCGCACAGAAGTCCAATCACACAAAGATAACCTTGGATCTCTGTGGAAAATAATCAAAAGTTGTATTCCATCCAAAGAAAAAGAAACTCCGGTCTATAGGAGACACTAAGCTAGTTGCTAACGACTTCAACCAATTTTCTCCTCTGGTGGGAGAAACACTGCTCAATCTGCGGCACAGTTGGCCATAGACAACAACATCAATATTTCAGATACATGCCTAATTTCACCACCAACGACCAGAAATTCATTCGAGGAACTATTTAATTTCACCTTTGTTACCTGTACGCAGGTCGAACGTATTGTATCATCTATGCCTTCTAATAAGTCTCCAGGCCCCGACAAAGTCAGCATGCGCATCATCAAAGACTGCCTTCCCGTTATTCTTGGCCCGTTGACAGACAACATCAACTGTTCTTTCGCAACTTCTACATTTCCAAACTCCTGGAGAGCGTCTGAGGTCATACCACTACTGAAAGACGGAGATCACGAGGAGCCATCAAATAATCGCCCCCTTTCGATGCTTACCGTTGCTTCAAAGATCTGCAAGAAGGTAGCACTCCAACAGTTTAGCAATTATTTACAACGTAACGGCCTCCTTAATAAACATCAAAGTGGTAATCGTAAACACCACTCTACAGAGACTCTTTTAAAATATTACGATCAGCGACTTCTTATTTGATGCTATGGACAATAAGGGACTGTCAGCCCTGATGCTATTAGATCTATCAAAAGCTTTTGACAGTATTAGCCATTTTATATTATTACAGAAGCTGAGAGAAAACCGTAAAATGGTTTGAGAGTTACCTGACCGACAGAACACAGGTGGTCCGTATTGGCACATCTACATTTAAACCCTTCCCCCTATCACCCATGGCGTACTACAGGGCGCCATACTGTCACCACTTTCGTTTGTATTTATATCTGTGATCTTCCTCTCGCTCCACAAGTATGCAATCTAGAGTCCTACGTAGAAGACTCTAAGATCTTCTTATCCTTTCCAGTCAAAGATGCCGAATCTGCAGAACGTGTTCTTAAAGAAGATTTAAGACGAGTGGCTGCCTG